GTATGATACCGCACTTGTGTCCCTTTGAACTTCAGTCGCATAATAAATCTCTTATTAACCAAGCTTTCTCGGGAGCGTACTGGAAGAATATCGGCCCTCGGTCTTTTTTGTACGGACCTCGCTACGCTCGATCCGTACTGTCAAGACCTCGGGCCGATATTCTCCCAGTGCGGCCCTCGCGCTTGGTTAATAAGATATTTGACTTGATGTACTTGCAAGCGGATCTTGATGCGTGTACGTAAATCTACGTATATTGGAATCTTGTTTTACGTGTATGCAAATCTTGATATGTGTAATCTAATCTTGACATAGAGATATAAAACTTGATGTAAATAAATACATCTTGTCCCTTTTGGACAAGCATAGAAAACAAAGCTTGAACTAGAGTACTTACAAAGAAGTCTGGGAACGTAGTGGTGTTGAACTTTTCCTAGTTATTTTGCCCAATAAACAAGAATCAAAAGAGCAGTTGCCGTTTGAAACGGATCAGGGTTCACTGTTCTCCAACAGAAATGTATAATATTTCTCTCTCAAAGAGATCCTGACATTCCCATCTGATAACTTTTGCTACGACCAAATACTTTTTGAATCCTGCTTTGAATATCCTTCGTCCTAAGGTAGCAGAAAAAGATCAAATCGTCGTACTACTTGGAAGAAACCTTTACCTCAAGCAACCGACATTTTAGGAAAACCTGGACATAGCACTCACATTTAATTAGCTTGCTCTCTCCGGGACTCAATTAAAATTTTGCGGAAACAAGTCCTTCTAAGTAGAACAGTTCCCTCTTAGTTAAACAGACATTGTTCTGTAGTTCATGATCAGTCTTTAATGTTAAATGACCACCGTATAAAGTTTCTAAACTGACATTTCGAGTGTTAGATCTTTAAATTTGTCAGAGCGAATTACATAGGGCTACCGGTGATTTACTTTTACCTCATTTGGAGTAAATACATAGTTGCATTTACTAAATTTCTTTTAATATTCCATTCAGTTCGAAATTCCAAAATTCGATGCTTATTCAAAGATCAGAATTCCTTTACATCTCTGCTACATAGCAAAAAAGGTTACGAATTCGCCTTAAAAACAGTGTTCTCTTGCTTAAATTATGATTGCTGTTTTGTTTGTCACCAATTAGATATTTTATTGATTATCTCTTAAGATTCCTAAGGCCGGGTTACTTAGTTATGTGATAGGATCATCGATGAAGTGAGACATATTGTAAATGTAACCGCTTTAAAAGGATTCCTGGCAAACATTTCTTTTTGTAAGGCTAAAGTCACTTTCTTCCGACTCAAATCTGTTACAAAAGACTGTTAACCTTTTCCTTG